TCCTCTCACCTGCTCTGCCTCGGCCCACCTGCCCCGGCCCTTCGTTGCTCTAATCCACCCAGGACAAAGCCGCCAGGGTCACCTTTTCATAACGCAAATCTGATTATCCAGGCCCTTTAATAATTCAGTGGCATCTCTTCCCCTTTGGAATAAAGATTAAATATTTTTTAAGAAACATAAGGTCCTTGCAATCTACCACATCAGCTTCGCCTCCCAGTGTTACCCGACTCCTATTCTGCACTGCAGTCCCCGAACTTCTCAAATGCCACGTTCATTTGCAATTCTAGCTGCTCTTTACATGTAAACTTCTCGGCGTCGACGCCAATGCCAGTCCCAACCCCACGAGCCAGCTCAAGCCGTCCAAACCCCCAAAGAGCTAATAACTGCAAAAGCGATTTGTATGAAGTTTAACCTGAGCATCTGTGAACGTATGTTTTCTGCCCTGATTTTTCTATGAACATCTAGCCGGAGATTTTTCTGTGCATCCCTACATCCCCAGTATTTTAAGGCAGAGATGGAGAGCTTGATACATTTACTATAAAAGGAAATAGCAGATAATTGAAAATACCACACCTTCTCTTTAGACAATACCCACCTCTGGGTGCACAGACCTTTAAGAGTCGTCCTACTTACCGGGCCACTAACATTCTAAATTTACCCCACGTTTGTTAAATAATTATTAAGTACCTACTATGTGCTGTCTATCCACTGGGTGGGGTGGGGGGAAGGATGACAGTAAAAATGAGTGAGACACAGACATGGAAAGCACAGCACGATTTTGCTCTACCAGCCATTTAAAGAGGGGGCCAGAGTCACCCGGAGGAGTCAGGAAAGGACAGGGTACAAAGTCACTGCCCTCGAAACCCAAACCAAGTATCAGGTCCCCAAATCAAGTAGGTAAAATGGAAATCCGAACCCTTTTTAATGATCACCTGTCATCAAGTGCCGCCTGTTACATTAACAGTGAAATCATCACATTAAATGGAATATATTCCAAAACCTGAGCCAAATGATAAACTGATGTAAGAAAGATACACAGGGTGGGGCAAAGGTAGGTTTACAGTTCTGAGTACACAAGACAGAGTTTACTCTGGTGTTATTATTTATTAATTATTGTGTTATTTCCTATACACACAACTATAAACCTAATTTTGCCCCACCCTATATAAGAAATATCACACAGGCAGCCAGAACCTTGATTTCTCCTGTTTTACCTGGACATTGTGGACCTGAGATAAGTCACTTAAGTCCCCAAGTCCCCCTGGGCCTCTGTTTCCTCCTCAATCAACTGGAAATGAGCATGAGACCTACCTCCCCTGCTCTACAAGGCACTGAGACTGCAAAACAGACAACAGATCTGAAAATGCCCTGAATTAAAAAATAAAGAACAATCGCTTTACAAACGTACGGTCTGGTCTCAGTTACCAGAATCAGGAGACGCATCCTCACTGGTTCTTCGCAAAGCAAAAAGGTGGTGCCTCTTTCATTACGCTCGCTTATTTTTTTTGCTGAAGGTCAAACCAGGCTCCTCGCCCATTTAAAAGCTAGAAGCGTGCAGTGGAAGCCACTCTAAGGTGGACGAAGCCCGCACTTTAGGGTCCACTTACTCCTTCGGCCGCTCATCCGGTCTATCGACAGGTTCACAATGAGCAGCAAACACAGACGGGACACCGTAAAGAAAAACGTTACGTGGGCTGTTATCAGAGATTAGGGGTGCTGTTAGTCCTCTGGGCCGTGCGTGGAGAACAGCACCCTCAAATGACGATTTAAAAAGTGGTAGATGTGCTGGGGCGAGAGGAGGGTACAGGCAGGTCTGCGCTTTATAACGTGAGTCAGCGGGAACTACAGGCCCAGAGGCGGGCGGGAAAGGGGATCGTCTCACTCCCCCAGCAGCGAGCACCAGGGCCCGCAGGACAGTCTGCTCATAATATGGATATTAACCCCCCCCCAATCCTTATTTGGTAAAATCTGCAAAAAATGTCCACGCTGGGAAATAGTCGAGGGAATTTTTTTAAATGTTCTATATTATGCAGTTAAAAATAAGCCAGCATCCCAGGTGGAAGATGTCTGCACCGAACACTGCTTCCCGCAGCCCGTTAGGTCTGAATTACTTTCCACACCCCAGTTGCTACCCACCCTCATCGGCGTCCCACCGAACGTTCTCTGTGGCTCACCGTTTATTTGGATCCTTTATCAAGAGCCCTGAAAGCAGTGATTTTGCATCTGAGGAGAGGGTTCGAGGAAATTTGATGTCTTCCATTAGTATTAGTTCAAAAAGTTTTTCGTGATCCTGGTTGTAGAAAGGCAGCCTCCCACACATCATTTCATACATGACGACACCCAGGCCCCACCAGTCCACGGCTCGGCCATAGTCATTGTCCTCTAACACCTAAGAGTGAAACCAGCAAAAACAAAACAAAACAAAAACGAATGATTACGCGTTCACTTCTAAAGCATTATTTATAAAACACAGGACTTTCGCATAAAAATGAATCCGAACTTTCAAAGCCTAGGTAGGCAATTCTTAGACCTTGACGTTGAAACTATGGAGCATCCTGTAAAGTACACAAACCACATCAAATATATGAAATGCTCAATATCGATCCAGAAACGGTCCGTGCGCACCAAAGGGGGCAGGGCACGCAACCGGTGCCAGGCAGACAAGCCGGCGAGTGTGCAGAGGATCGGAGGCAAGCCGCTGGCAGGTCGGCAGTTTTCCCTGGGGCCCGCTTACTTTTTCATTCCGGTTCACTAGCGGGGACTTGAAGTCACAACCCAGGGCTAAGCCACGCTATCAGAGAGCAGGTCGCAGGCCCTCCACGCTCCCGCGGGGAGGAGGCCCCGTCACCGATGTCGCCGAGACGAGTCCCGGGCGCAAGCGCCGTGCACAGGCCCTGGCAGCTCTCGGAGGCCCTGCGGACGTCAGCTCAGGAAGCAGGCGGCCAGCGCTGAGCGGGAGGGTTTATTTTCTGGGCTATGACAAACTTTGCTGCCCGGAGCCTCGGGGCCCCAGGACAAGCTCTGCTGAACAGAATCAACAAAGTCGTGGGCTCGGTACCCGGGCTGTATGTGCCTGGGGTTGGTTCGGCCCCGACCAGGCTGAGCCAGGGCAACCTGTTCACGTCCGACCAGGAGAGCTTGCCGCTGGTGCCACGGAAAATCTGCTTGTGTCTCTGTTAGATATGTTTCCCATCCGATGGGGTTTTCTGCAGTTATTGAGAACTTCCCATATTTTATTTTAAATTACTGTATCTGAATAATCTTAAAGCTGACTTGTTCAGATCCTCTTAGCTTTGGGATAAACGGATCAGGAAAACCATACACGTGAAATTTATCCATTAAAAAAACCTTAGAACTGATTATATAAGAGAATTTGATACAGAAGGAACTCCTATTCCCAAACCTCCTTAGTTTTAAATAAGTAAATGCACTGTTGAAGGTTACTCCTATGTGACTTTTATTTAAAATTTACCAATAATTTTCATAGACTTGCACATGACATTTTTGATAGCTAAGGCACTTTGGTAGACAGTGTATTTAAAGATGGAGCATGTAATTTCAAGAGAAAACTATGTTACTGAAAGATATATTGGCAGTGTTGTCAAGCGCTATGAAAAGATTTTTATTCCAACTGCATCACTGTTTTGTGGCTAAAGAAGCCTAGAAACAAACAACATTGGCAAGAGATGAACACGAGACCACCTCTTGCATTTTCCAAAAACCTTTTGTAAATCACAAGCTAAGCAAAATATTTTCAGGAAAAACAATAAATTCTCATTTTTTATCTTTCACCAAAAATATTTCAAATGTCCGTATGCTTGAAATGAGGAATCTGAGAAAACAAGAAGTAACCTAGAGAGGCAGAGAAATTCTCCTTGTGTACTTATGTTACAGGAAATGCTGTCAGACATAATTTTTAAATACCAGTGACTTTGGATTATTCAAGAATCCATCTCATGTCCAATGAGTAGCACGTATTGTTTGTGGGCCTTTTTCTAACAGATTAAGGATTTTATCTAATAACAAAAAATTTTAAAATCTAAATAACCTTTCTTTGCATTCCTACAGCACCAACAAAGCAGCGGCACACGCAGGCAAGAGCCAAATGTGGTTTTTAACCTCTTTTTTCATAAAACCATAAAAAGCATAAAAGCTGGATTAACTGCCTCCCGAACCCACATTTCACCAGCCGGGTTCTCATCCCCAGCTGGCAAAACTGGCAATCCTTTATTTTTGTTTAAATACCTGGTTTGCAGCCAGAAGGGAAAGTGAGTACATTAAAAAAAAAAAAGGGGGGGGGTATTTTTGAAGAGAAATAGGCATCTGAAAAATAAAGCTGCATTGTACAAAAATCTGTTTCGATAAAATAAAATGTATTTTATTTAGCTTTGCAAAATGAACACTGATTCTCCAACTAAGCAGTTTTGCTTCGGAGCATAATGTGCTTTAATTGATATATACACGCAACGCTACAGTGAGAACCGCTTGCTGTGTCACTGTACTGAACACATTTGATGTAATATATTACGTTTTAGACACACAAGCTTAAAGCAACATTAAGGAGAAAACACTTCGGGCTTCTTGATCTAAGAGTCTTTGCTACCAATGAAAAAGAAAGATTTCTGCTCAACTCCTACCTCCAAACAGCTGGACGGTGAAACACACAAACATGTAAGTGGTTCTAATATTCTACACGTGGGTATACAATATGAAACATTAGCACTATTCACATAATGTCCTTCACTCTCCTTAAACAGAAATTATTTCAAAACACAGTACTTGGAAATCCTCTGGAAATTCCAGAGTGAATTTAAAATCCACAGCCTCTCTTGTATTTTTTTTTTTTTTGGAAGATACTTTTCTCCCTCACTCAAAGCACTTCTTTTCCCCAAATTACAAAACCCTATAAAATGTATATTCTTTAACCTAAGAGTTGCAATTCCGTCCGGCTACCTCTGGTGATTTCGTTTCTGGCAAAAAGGTTCGTTCACCTCCTGGCCATCCGGAGACGGATCCGGGGGCTCGGTGGGCGGTCACAGGCGGTGACGGTGGGTGCAGGTCAACTCTGTCACAGCGCAGTTACCCCGTAACACGGAGATGCAGACCCAGACCTACTCCAGCGAGGCAACCCGCCGAGGGGCTCAGCTCAAAGAGTCAACCTAAAGAAAGTGTCTCTTGGCCATACAATCAATGTGCTGGCATCTGGCTAACCTCACGGACGCTTGGTGTTTCCCGCTGTCCCCACTGTCCCCTGTGACCTTAGATGGAGCCTGACTTTGTAAGTGAATTTAACACACGTGCCCAGATGTAAAGGACAAGAGAGGATGTGGAACACACACAAAAGATGTGACTGTTAAAGAAGGACAGTGGCTCACACCAAAGCCCCACCCGCACAGCACGAACTCCAAGAAAGGAGGCGGCGTTTCACGGGTCCCGCCGGGCCCGGGGACGGCTTCACGGTCCGGTCAGACAAAACCTAAGGTTCAAGGAGGTCACAGCAGGGACCAATTACTATGAAACAAATAGTCAATTAATATTTAGAAATATCTGATGTAGACACTTGAGTTTATAAAACCACCAGGTGTGCTGAAAAAATCTAGCTCTTGAACGGTTACTGATTTCAAAAAATGATATTAAATAATCAACTATGTCTTTTAAAATGATACCATCAATGAAAATTCCCCATGTAAATATTTATTTGGCTAATGGGCACTTTCAAAGAACATATTCAACCCAATATTCTTTTACTAATTAGGTTTACCGGAAGGCTGAAGGAGTAGCTCTCCGAGCCTGCTCGCCAGGGCCACCCCATGCACCCCAGGCAAGCAATTACAGGGCTCTGTCTGCCCAGAGGGGCCTCCCGCCCAACCAACAGTCCTGGCAGAACAGATGGGGGCAAAAATTAAACAGCTAAACAAACTGCACACCTATGTTGCGAAAGTAAACTGTGAACTTGGATGAACCAATTTACCTCTAATTCAAAAATTTTTTTTCTGGTAACCTTGTATTTCAGGTAACTGATAGGTGTGTGTTTTATATATATATATGTATACACACACACACACACACACACACACACACACACACACTCTTACGTACTTTCTCATTGATGGAAACCCTTCCCATATTCTTAACATCACAGGAATTGGCTTTAAAAAAGACCTATAAATATTCTCATTCAGATTCTAAAACGTACTGCAGCTTCGGGAGAAGTGTTTCTTTCATACGAATTACGGATGCCATGGCTTCCTGGCACTTTCTTGATAAATATATATTCTCAACTGCTCTAATAACTCTTAAGAGATTGTACCTGCCCCCTGCTGGGAATGAGCATGCTGTGGCTTCCTGGCTGTCTCGTGTGCACAGCAGCTAACATCAGGCCTGCAAAAGCCATCTCAGGCTCGAACAGGCAACATTCTTTCTTTAAAAATTTACCTTATTATTGAGAGTATCACAGAGCCCCCCATTCCTCCCCGCTCTGCCCCACTCCGCCCATCCCACCCCCCGGGCCTTCGCCTGTCTGCCGTCTGTGTCCATGGGCCAAGGCAACATCCTTGAACAAGAGAAAAGCTAAGCGGATACAATGCTGGTGACTAAATCACCCTGACACTTATCTTCCCAGAGACTTCTATACTTCCTTTCTACCCTAAAGCAACAACATCATGGGATTCCAAGAAACTGGTCTTTGTGCCCCAGGTGAGAACAGCCCTCGTAAAACACTACAGGCCGTCGATAGCGTTCCCAGTTGGCGTTAGTTTTGTTTATGTTCTTGGGCTTCGGAGAATTTAAAATTCAACTTTATGCTAAACTAGAACCACCCCAAAGTACTAAATGCAAACAAAAGCCCAAAGACCACATGATACTGAAAAAACTTCAGGTGAGAAACAGCTCCTCACAAGAACGGACAGACCTCCAGGCAAGTAAAAGCTGCTACTTATAAACACCGACAGACATCAACATTAACTAAAAAATACCCTTCTGGTTCATATTTTTAAAATGTCCCATCTGAGGACAAAATGGGATGGTTGTGAACATTACCCAGAAACGGTACAAACAGCAAGCAGGCACATCTGCCAGAACTTATTTTAGCTTCTTTTTTTCCATCGCCACTCGTGCCCCCGATCGGCTCTTCCCCCTCAGCCCTGCGACAGACGCTGTCACATGAGTCCCGATGACAAAGCCCACCTTCCACCTGCACCCGGCACGTGGCCGTGGCTCAACCTGTCCCTTAACAGTGGCGACGAGACGTGTGCAGGACCATCCGGAAGATGGGAGCTGTCAGGTGTCCCTACGAGGACAGGAGCTTCGTGAAGTCTCAACAGCTGAATAGAACAGCAGAGATGTACAGCTTCAGGGAGGCCACCGGCACCCCAAGAGCCCACGCGTGTGAAGACCCGGCTTCCCCGGTAGAAACGGCGGACCTCTGCCCCGGGGCCACGCAAGACTAAGTCTGCGAGCCGCGGCCTTTCCCTGCGGACGAGCTGCGCAAACCGGAGCAACTGGGGCCTCGCTCCGTTCCCTGCGGATCCCCAAGGACAGCACTGACGCGACCCATAAAATGGCATCTTCTACATTTATTTTTTGTTGTATTTAAAATGAGGGCCCGGCCGGGCGTGGCTCAGCGGCTGAGCATCGACCTGGGATCCAGGCGATCGGGGTTCGATTCCCGGTCAGGGCACAGGCCCGGGTTGCGGGCTCGATCAATGACTCTCTCATCATTGATGTTTCTCTCTCTCTCTCTCCCTCTCCTTTCCTCTCTCTGAAATCAATAAAGATACATTTTTTTAAAAAAATAAAAATAAAATGAGGGCATTAAATGCCATTCAGCACATTTAAATCTAGTAGGTTCTAACGACTCCCGCCGCCTGGACCACTCCATGCTACCTAATGCCTTTACCCTTAATTTATTTGATTTTTCCCAGCTCATTCTGAAAAAGTTAACGTAGATCTTTGGCTTTAAATTTATATAGAATTTAATTTCCATTTGTACTATTATTTACACAGCATCACAATGGCTTTGAGCAAATCTCTGTATCAAAACAGTTATCAAAATATTCTGGTCTATTTCAGATATTTTCGAAATATGGGTTATATAAGATCTATTGAAACTAGTCGGTTTCGAAAGAAAAATGAACAATATGACCGTAAGTGGATGTTTTCTGAAAATGAGGTTCTAAAAGCTAAGACTGCATCAGAATACATGTTCAGCTCCTGGAAAAAAATCTGTCTTACAGTTCTACGGAACAAAACTATATACACTTTCTCTCTGCACAGCAACCGCAACTAGAGGCGATGGATTTTCCAACAATCGAGCCTTTTTTTTTTGCCATCTTTTTGTTAGTTCTAACTAGACTATCAGATAATTTTTATTTTTACACTGTTACAGACGTGCATTTCTCTAGGTTTCCAAAAGCACCTTATTCAACCTTCCCCATCTGTCACCATCTGCTTCTTTTTAGCATGTACTTTTTGTGTGATCACATAAACACGTGAAAAATATCTAACGTGCAGTGATTATCTGCGGGTACATTTGAGGACTGGGCATAATAACAGTGAACTGCCAAAACGCACTTAACACTTTTAATTTTGTTGGGTCTTGCATGTAGGCTGCATTTGATTTTCAAACTGTTTTGCAGTTGGAAAGTTGATCAGGTACTGCTAACTCAAGAGCAAAGCTGAGACTAAATAATTAGCACTGCATAAAATGGGTTGGATTTGAGAACAGCCAACTCAAATAATAAAGCTTAACAGTAAAATCTGATACGTGATTTCTCATTTAAAATTTCTAGGTGTGAAAGTAGACTTTGCAAAAATAAAGTCCCCTCGAAATATATCACTGTCCATGATGTATGGCAGGTCAAGCTGATTTCCTTCTAACATCAGTAAGAAAGAAAACGCATTCATCTGTAACTATACATGCAAGTGCCTTCTTAGAGCTGGGGCCCACCAAATGCATGGTTTGTATGCATGCTAGGACTGGGTTTCTGCAATCACTTAAAAAATACATGATTTCCCTGCTGTAACACTAAAGATCTGTAATCCTTCATCTAAAGAACTAAAAAAACAAACATTTTTAAAATGCTTTTTTCAACAAATGGCAGTTTTCGCTTTTCTGGTGGTCTCTGCCGCAAGAAACTTAAATTCATTTAAAATGTAAGTTTATACTTAAAAATCGGCTATGAATCTGATACACAGGACAGTTCATGGGTTTGAACTGATTTTTAACAGTCCTTTTTGCAGCATCTTTTAAATATCCTTCATCTGTCTGAACAGCAAAGCATTTCTAGCCGATCCAAACAATTCGAGAGGAAAAAGAGGCGAGCGCTGGAGGCTGCAGAGATCTCTGGAAGGTGTGGACACGTCTCGGGGAGAGGGGAGATCCCGACGGAGGGGCGGTGCCGGCCACGCACAGGTCTGCAAAGCGGCTATTTCCACGCCGCCGAGAGAGGCCTGGCGCTGGGGCGAGCGCTAGAAACGTCAGGGTTCGGAAGGGACCCTTCAGCTCCCTCCGCCCATCTGACCGCAGGGCCGCCTCGCCCCACTCAAGTGACTTTCCCTTCTCCGCGGGGCCCATCTCAACCTGCGATCCCGCCCTGTCCCCTGTCCAGCCCCCAGGAGGCCACGCATCGCCCCTTCCCTGCCCGCACCCCGCACAGCTCCGGCCCGGCCACCACCGTTCGCAGGGCAGCCACCGCTCTCTGCGTCCCACCGCCTTAGGGAGCAGTGCTCCAGGCGAGGACCAGCCATTCTTACTGTCCCTGTAGTCCTAGCACCTAACAGATGCGGGCACCTAATAAATATTCAGTATTTCCTCGATGGATCGATGGATGGATGGTGGGTGGATGGATGGATGGATGGATGGATGGATGGATGGATGGATGGTGGATGGATGGATGGATGGTGGATGGATGGATGGATGTTCTTAGTGAAATGGTTCACATCGAAGACCAGAGAAAGGACTTCAATTCTTGCTTTTAAAAGCACAAACACATTCAAAGTTATCCTGATTTAACAAGCATGTAGTGTTTGACATAAATACTTAAAATATAAGAATTAAAATTGCATGAGGAGTTAGTTGTCTCAAGATTTGTCGTCCTCAAACCGTAACTATGATCACTCCACTCTCCCCGCTAAACATGAGGGTCAAGATTTTAATTATGGGATATAAACTGCTTTTAAAGACCAGACTTCTACAATATTTAAGAAATATATGTATTTATATATACACAGAAATGTTTTCTTACTTGTCTTTAAAAAGAAATTGATAATTTCTTATAAATTATAAACATCCTGTTTAGAAACAATTGGGCTCTTCTTGCATTAAATTCTTGGTTTTGTTTCGTTGATGACATTTGCATGTAGAACAATATCAGTTTCTTCCATCATCTGCTTTTAAAATGAGATGTATTTATCTTCTACAGAAATAATTTCCCCTAATTGTGACATAACTAATTCTGTTATTCTAAAAATGGGATGCATCACCCACAGCAAATGTATAGCGGGGGAAACTGAGCTCCAGAGAAACAACATGTTTGTTTTTTCACTATGTTCACAAAACGATCCTACTCCAGAGGAAGTTCCCTGACAGCAGTGTCCTTTGTGTCTCGTTGCTGTAACCACATCACTCAGAAAAACACGCCACACACAGCAGACACACAATATACACCTGCTGGATAAACAAAGAAACGACTTACTCCGGAGCCCTCACAGCATGGCCCACGGTCGGAACGGCTTTGGTCTGAATTCCAGAACGCAGCTACTCTCATTTCATTAACTCTCCCAAAGAAATACTGCCTGGTAACTACGAAAACCCACAATACTACAAACCCCAGTGATCAGTTTCTTTGTTTCTAAGGAAAATCCAAGTGGCTTAGAGAACTGTAAACATTTTTGAGGTCGTTCAATTATTCTGTTTTAATTAATGAATGAATGAAAAGGGGCATAATAAAAAAATAAAATATGGCCAACAACTAAAAATGGACTTACTCTATTATAGCAAGCACCTTTGTGCTCATAAAGTTTATAAAATTATATATATATGTATATATATATATATATCCTTGCCATAATATCATGTTGAACAGTGGGAGCCAAATAGATTCGGTTCGCGTTGAAATTCAGGTAAAAAGAGTAGGTCCTGCGATTTCTGTTAATGCGTAAGCGGTTTCCTTTGCAAAGCACGTCAATGTTCCTTCCTCCTGTGAATGGGACCAGCCTACCTCTGGTGCCAGGTACTCTGGTGTCCCACAGAACGTCTTCATAGTGGCTGCATCCGTGATCCCTTCTTTGCAAAGTCCAAAATCCGTAATTTTTATGTGCCCGTCTTTATCCAGCATCAAATTCTCCAACTGCATAGGAAGGAAAATGCCATGATTTGTCCTAAAGTCTTCAAATCTAGGAAAATACTGTTTTGAAACAATTACCGAACTCTGAGATATTTTGAAAAGAGAACATAGTTGTTGTTAAGAGGACTTTCCGGCACTTACAAACCCTGTAGCTTCCTAATTCATATGTAAAAAGAAATGTGTTTTATCAAATACTTTAAGGTAAAATTAGTGATTTTTTAAACCACTAGGAAGAGCCATTATCGTGTTAAGTTCTGAGAATTAAAGCCCAATTAACTTTTCAAAGCAAAAACCAATTCTCTTTTTATTTAAATAAATTGTGATCCTAAATAATCCCAGAGATGAGCATCTTCTGGATACATACAGATGGTTTTCAACAACTCCTCTTGGGAATCTATTGCTATTATAAAATATTCACTTACAGTCTGCCTGGAACTTGAGAGGTTCCCTGGGACGCAGGACTTAACAGTTCTGTACCTGGGGGTGTCCTGGGCAAACCAGGACAGTCGCTTATCGCCCACCCTCCTTGTTTTATGAGTCAGCTTTAAAAAACTGCAATGAGCCTGACTGGCGTGGCTCAGTGATTGAGCATCGACCTTGGATCCAGGAGATTGAGGTTCGATTCCTGGGCAGGGCAAGTGCCCGGGTTGCGGGCTCGATCCCCAGTCGGGGGCGTGCAGGAGGCAGCCGATCAATGACTCTCATCATTGACGTTTCTCTCTCTCCCTCTCCCTTCCTCTCTCTGAAACCAATAAAGATATATTTTTTGAAAATTGCAGTGACATAGTAAGCCACAGGGTCAGCCCAAGGAGTGACTGAGGGGGGAGGGTCATGACGACGGGGCGAGGGGCACGCCGCATGGGAGGCCGCAGGGAGCACAGCGGGTCAGAGCACGGGGTCCGGTTAGAGAACTCACATGTACGTTCAAGCCTGACCCTCGCTCAGTGACCCTGGGCTATTGATTTGTGTGCCTCGACTTCATCTATAAACCAGAGGCAAGTAACAGCAACAACCTAATGGGACTGTTTTGAGAATCAAAACCACGTCACCAGCTTAGTCCATTGCTTTAAGTTGCTTACGAGGCTTCTAGAAGTCCATGGCCTCACCTGTAGACATGGATCGGCTCTAAACTACGATACCACCTAAAGGGTCTCGCTCTATTATGCAGAATCCCGTGCACCATGGACACAAGCAACATTTGGATAAATTTTTAATGTTTGGGTGTTCGCGCTCTATCTATTCTCCTTGGTGTATATTTACATGGTTTCTGCCCCAGCTTTGTTCATTTACTTAGACAGATTCTAAGGTAAGGCTACATTTAAAAACATAAACTTAGCAGAGATCACTTAATTGTCTAGTAAAGTTAGTGGTCTATGCATACGGTGAGTGCATGGCTCATATTTATATATAAAGTAGGTTCTTAACGTTGCAGCTTAATAAATTTAGTTTTTCCATCATCAGAAAGGACGGGGCAATGAAAACCGTATTAACGAACGTCACTACGCCCATATGTTCACGGCAATATAGTCAGTGGTAACTGTGACCACAGCCATCTCAGCTGCCCCACTCTAATCGAAAATGGCATTCTTCCCCTTGTTCCTTTAGGCTAATAAGTCTACCTTCCAGCTTTAAACATTTTGGGTATGTGACCAGTACTTCAAAAGCATTCTTATTTCCTTATATCCAAGAAGTTCCCCCTCTTCTCCCTACAAATAGAATTCATAAACGATAAAGTGGGAGTGGCGGGGGGGTGTGATTCAGGCAGAAAATAACTATTTCTAAGTAAATGTGGAAATTCTGATGAGCTACTCCGGGGTCAGGGGACTGTGGCCCGTGGGTGAGATCCAGCCTCCCGCCTGTCCGGGTGAATAGTTTTACTCATCTGCGTGCGGGACGCCCTCGCCCTGGGACGGCAGAGCCGAGGCGCTGCAGCGAGACTGGATGGGCAGCGAAGCCTGGAATGTTCCCGACCCGGCTCTGCGGAAGGTTTGCCAGACCCGGAGCTACTCTGAAGGTCTCACTGAGAAGTCAAGTCCCTCTTACCGATAAAACAAATACAGTACTTTTTAAATGCAAATTAAACCAATAAAAGGCTCCGGGTATTTAAACCCTCCCAAAAGTTAATACCAAAATCAAACCAAATATTTTCCTCCAGTAAAGTCTTATTTATTATAAAAGCTTCTTCATAGTACGTCACAGGATGTTAGGCTGTAACAGTGAAACTCATTTTAAAATGCCACTCGAGAAGTTCCTTGACTTTTAATCGGATGTTTGACATTACTCAAAAAAAACATTTACAGAAAACGGAAACTGTTACTGGTAGGTCAGACTTAATCAGGGCGTAAAGCAGAAATTCTTTCACATCAAAAACTCGGACATAAAGGAGCCACACACGCCAGTGAATGAAATCACCTCTGGGGCGCAGTAAACCACCTTCTTAAACAGAATGCTTTTCCCCAACTAAATCTGCTTTTCTGCAAACTGCGTAACTTTGTAATTACTTTGTTTGTCCCTATGGTCTCTGCAAAAACAAACCTGGATTACTTGATTTTTTTTTACCTTGAGATCACGGTACACAATCTTCCCGGAGTGTAGGTAGTCCAGGGCCGAGACAATTTCTGCACCATAGAAACGTGTGCGGTCCTCAGAGAACACCCGCTCTCTCGACAAATGGAAAAACAGCTGCAGGGTAAACAGCAGGGACAGGATTGTAATAATTACTGATTTAGTGGGGAAATTAACACAAACATAAAACACCTCTCATCACCATATTGTGATGATCGATGGTGCGCTCTCCGCGGACACCGAGCGCTCTTAGACAGCAGCTGGCTTATCTCCTGCAGGCTTCCAAGGGGGGCCTGCGAGCTGTGAAATCAGCGTTTTAATCAGTACCCCAATCTTGTTCGAGGCATCCTGCCTGCCCCCCGTTTAACCTTCAGCTACCGGAGGAGAGAAGACTGCACCGTCCGACCGCGTTCCCCTCGCTCCTTCAAGGATCGGGCAGGGAGACGTTATTAAAATAAATGCCCCCAAGCACAGATGTGACATCTCTATTTAATGGTCTGATTTACACTTGGTGTCAGAGGAAGGCCCGCCGATGGCCGGAGCGGGTTTAGGTGAACCTGGCCTCCCCTACGTCTGTTGATTCATCACGAAAGCTCTAGAAACGTTTTCAAAGTTTGGATCCGTGTTTTCTACGGTGAGGCGCTGTCAGGCTGCACGTTTTCATCTCAGTAAGGTCCAAAGTGGTCTGAGAAGCTCCCAGTGTCCCCCTTGTAAGTCTCAATGTCTGTCTCAAAATAAATGACACCATCAATCTTTTCTCACACAATCACATAAACTAGAAGCCCCGCCGTTTCCCAGCTAATCGCCACTTGAGAGCTGACACATGTTTATTGGGCGCTCACTGTGGCCAAGCACCCAGCGCTCCGTTTAGCCAGATCTTGATGAGAAGCTGCCGGTGTCACCTCTCAGGGCGACAATGTACGTAGGGAGCGGGCTTCGGGCACGCCTGAGCTCTGCTGTGCTATGTCCCAGGTTGCTGACAGTGCTGAGCACATTGCCAGGATCGCAGGTGACACTCAATACCTGTCCGTGACCACGGAAACGAACCGATCGGCCAAGGTATTCTTGACGCAGGATCAGAAATCAACTGTCCCTGCGCGTGCATCGGTGGCTCCTAGTGCTCCTACAGATCTGTCACAATGACGGTCAGCAACGTTTGTTCCTCACACACAAGTCACAACTCGGGTAACACACAGGAGGCTCCCTGTAGGTCCTGTTCTTCTTTTTCCCACCTCCACCTCCACTCAGGGGTCTATCACTGTTTTGACATAAACTTTATGCTGGGCCCACGGTCACAGTAAAGAGAGACAGGTAATATCACGCACCTATTGCCAAAAAAAAAGACAGGCTCAACATCAGTCACAGTGAAACCAAAACACTAGGCGGACAGTCTCTAAACTTGAGTGCTCTCTGCCGGATTGCCACAGTTTATCAAATCTAAGACGCTCCTGACAGGGACTCCATCACTGCTTCATGTTAATGTCAAGTAAGAAAAAAAAGTCAATTAAATCGATGACACACCATCAAATATAAAAGGCATTCTCAATGCAGAAATGTTAAATGCATCTGACAAAGAATCAAACACACTATGCCCAAAATCAAACCAACGTCTATAATCACTCAGGCACACTTTCCAAAATTCATTTATTTTATATAGGCACAGATATGCATAATGTATAATAATATATGTAATATATGTAATGCATTTACATACAGGCATATATCTAATGCATTATCATTCAAACAGGGAACGTCAGTAAAACCATTCTGAACTAACTTCTGGCTCAAAATAATTTCTGCCATGCTTTATACAAAATCCGACTAATGTTGATGAAGGAAACCTGTGACCTCTATGGAGATTTATGGTAGTGTTCGAATAGAATGAAAGTAGTGGTTAAACTTGCAAATTTTCTTAAAATAATGTCAAGCCTACTACCCACTCATCTACTGTACAAGACACGGATGCTCCCTAAGTCAACATAATACATGCAGGAGTCTAGGTCTTTATTTAGACCATGTATCTTCAATTTGTCTCCCAGCCAATTTCTATAAAAATATATGCTAAAAAAAAAAAAAAAGTTATACTTAAGGAGAATTCTATTTATTTCTCAATCTGCTGTCCTCCGATGTGTGCCCTTGCTGCTTTGTGGGACTTACTCTTGTTAAGATAACCAAGAACCTCCTAATTGCCGAATCCAGTTATTTCCAGCCCACACCCCTTCTTCCGGTTCGGGAGCTCAGCACATCACCTCTTGCCCTCTCCTTCCCGAAACGCGGTTTTGGCTTTGGTAATTCAACTCTCTGCTGATTTTCTGTCTAGCTCTCTGGATATTCCTTGGCTTTAAACCAACTTTCCATCTAGTGAGAATCAGTTATTTTAAAGTCACTGTGCTGGGCGCTGGGAAGGGAAAGACAGGACATACATAGTGATCAGGACAGGCCCTGACCTCACGGTTTTCAACTCAGAGGAGGAGACACGCATAGATAAAAAAACAAGGGAGCTGTGCGAAGTTTTCTAATTCTGATATTTAAAATGCTTTGGAGGCAAAGAGTGATGGACCTTTATTGAGATGATCTGAGGGGGCTTCACAAATGCGGATGGGATTTTTCGCAAAAGGAGACTATCAGGGAAGCCTACAAAAGACGGCTGTTCCAGTTGTACCCATCTTTATATGCACATAGTAGGGAACTAATGCGTGTTTATGAAAGAATGAATTCTAAAGAGAAAAAGCAGCAATGCAAGAAAACACACTCAAGGAACCTGTGTCGCTGAGGAATGACACACATTCGGGGCAATGACAGGACTTAAGTAAAAAAAAGGTGCGGCCACATCGCTTAGGACCTTGCCTGCCAAGATATGGGGCTGAGATCTGTTTTGCTATAAGGGCTGTCAAAGAGTTTTGGGTTAAAACAATTAGCATAATGTAAAAAACAACAACTCTGGCAGCAACTGGAGAATCAATGAGAGTGATCCGAGACTCCAGTCGGGGAAACAATACGTGAAGTGCAGCAGGAACACTCCTGAGCCCGTGAGTGCAGCTGCTGTGAAAAGCTGAGAGCAAGTGGCAGAAATCGCAAGGGCATCATGGTCTGGTTAGAACCACCAGGTATCAAAGAGTCTACTAAAAACACGGTGGTTATAAACTAGCACATTTAAATAGGGGAGTGAGCATGTTTGACACTATCAGAAGTTACACACGAGCTGAACAAGAGCTTCTGAGGCACCTTGACTGGAGTGGTCACATTTCAAGAGAGTCCCAATTTCAGGGGGAACTCGCAGCGCCGGGGTCAGGGGGGATAGCACGTCGGGGTCTCCCTGTGGATGGCGGAGTGGACGTCGCAGCCTGCAGTGTTGAGGAGAAGAAAGGGGCCTGGGACAGGGGAGCCATGGATTTTCTTTTGGCCTGTTAACGTATAAATAAGCATGGGACACCACAGCTTTGAGGTTATGGGCCCCAAGGCCAGAGAGGTGGACATGGGAGGCATTTATTTATACAAAGATCTTGTTAAAACCAGGGAAGCATGGTGCAGCCCGGGAGTTCAGTGCAAACGGAAAACAGCAGCTCGGAATCTCAGGGTATCACTGCACGTAAGGACAGGGGGCAGGATCAATAGTTATCTGATCTCAGGATGATTTTCCGAGCCGAAAGGAAAGGAAACGAGTCCTAAAAGGAGAGCCTGGCAGCAGGGGGCAGGATGCTGCGCCGAGTCCCAGGAGAGGGACACAGCAGGGACTGCATCGGACGAGCGGGGACAAGGGAGCGCCCGGCAGGGGTCCGGTTCTCAGGCGCAGGAGCGGGGTCACCTGCTCCCTTTCGGGAAGAGCTGTCCTGCTCACAGGAGCCGGGACAGAAAGCGAAGGGGAAACGGTACGTGGCTCCTTCGGGAGAAAGGAGCGAGCTGGGCCGAGGCGTCACTGAAGCAGAAGGTTTCTGCTGCACACGTGAAGCCGAGCCTCCAGGAAGGCAGCTTTTGCTGGAGAAACTGAGATGCGACGCTCTGAAGCTACAGCTCACATGCAACAGGCGCACAAATTAGGAGATCGACGAAGTCGGCCAGCCAGAAACAGGCGATTTTATACAAGTTTAATATACGGTAACACTGATGATGACAATACGTGACCAAGTATGTGAGAGAAAATAACTGCTTAATAAATGCTGCCATACTAGATGGTCAAATTTGGAGAAACGTAAAATTCAATTTTCATGTCATATTGTGACAATGAATTTCAGGTAAATATAAAATATGACGCTATTTTTTTAAAACTAGAAAACAGGAAATCAATAGCTGATTTCAGGAAGAAAGATTTTCCAAGCAGAAAAGAAATGAAACAAATCATAAAAGGAAACACTGGTAGAATTAACTGCATGGAATGGCAAAAATATAAATAAAATTGAATATTTATAAGAAATATGACAACCCAACTGTCCACCACCAGCGGACAGATGAGCAAATGCTGGGAGAGCCCAAGCCATGCACAGGGATCGTGACTCAGCGATGGAAGGGACAAGCTACGGAGAAATGCAACAGTGCAAGAAATGCATAGCCGCCGAACATACGGCTGCGGAAAGCAGCAGACACAACAGAATGCACCCTGTCTGGCTCCGTTTCTGAGAAATTTTAGAAACAGCAAATCAAGTCTTGAGTGTCAGAGCAGATCACTAAGCCGCCTCGGGCCTCCTGTGGATGCTGAAGG